AAGAGGGTGGAAAAGAGCCCAGTGGTTGAGGGAAGAGCTTGCCCAACTACTGGCATTCCAAACTGCTCCCTGTCCCCAGAAGACCCCGGGAAGGGACTCAGTGCTGCTGCAAGTGTTGTCCCCCCTGTGCATGACTGATGAGGGCCCAGGCCACATGGGAACGGGAGAATAGCCATGCAGGCTGTCACCAGTGTGAAGTGGCTCTGGGAAGGAGCCAGTATGGGGGTTTGGGAGGAAGGGGGTCTTTCAAAGAAGGGCCCAAGGAGGGGCCAGGGAGGCAGGAGCCAGGAAGGCCAAGGTCCTGAGCCGGTGGGGCTGGCGCCTTCACAGACATCCTGGAGAAACAGTTCCTAACCCTGCACTGTCTGCGTCTCCCCCGCAGGGTGAAAAAGGGGCTGCAGGTTTCCCCGGGCTGCCTGGCCTCCTGGGGCAGAAGGTGGGTGTTGAGGAGCCCTGCATGGCTGGTTCTCTGTAAGGTTTTGGTGTCTTTCCTCCCCCACGTCCATTCCCAGCCCTGCACATTCACATGAGCCCCAGCATTGGAGGTGACCCTCTCCCAAATGGGGGTCAAGGCAGCTGGAACACAGCGATTCTGTACAGGGTAGGAGGAGACGTGCAAGGTAGGCCCTGGTTGGCCCCAAAATGCTCAAATTCAAGGAACTCAGTAGCTATGACCTGGTCAGATTTCTTCATACCAGCTCTGAAAATGTACCCCCTGTCCACAAGTTCTGTGAGATGTTTCATTTAAACAAACAAACAAAAAGACTTGAGGTCAAATAAGTTTGGGGAGAGCTGCATAAGACAGGCCCTTGGAAGATCACAGTGCACCTCAGCCTGCAGCGAAGGAGCCAGCAAAGCTTCCTTTAACTCTACATTTCTTAACAGTGGCTGCCAGACCCTCTTTTCATATTTCCAATATTCTCAGCCCTCTGAAGGAGTGTTCCATGGAATACACTTTGAGAAACACCACTCTAGCCCCAGGGCCTGATGGGGCCTGTGTTTCAGCTCTACGCTTGTCCCCTTTAGTAACCAGCTGCCTTCTCTCCTCAAATCCCATGGCCAGGTCAGACCAGTCTGGGGTTCTGAAGACCTCTGGTCACCAGACATCCTGGAGCACACAGACCCCTTAGTGTCCTTCCAGCGTCCAGCCTAGACTGAGCAGTGGCCTGCTGCCCTCACTCCTTGGAACTGGGAGGGAAGAAAACAGATGGCAAGGGATCTCCACCTCTTGGAACTAGGTCAAGCCAGTGACAGTAACTCTATTTTCTGCCCCCAGGGAGAGAAGGGCGATGCTGGCAACTCCATTGGGGGAGGTCGGGGGGAGCCGGGCCCTCCAGGACTCCCTGGGCCTCCAGGGCCAAAGGTGAGTTTTTCCTCGGATCAGCGTCAAAGGAGATGTTTGCCTGTGACCTTTATCTTCAGCCCATTCTTGGGGACTCTGTGTCCTAGACACCTCACCTTCTTCAACCTTCTTCTTCCCCAGGTGTGTGGTTTTCCCCAGTGGATTCTAGCAAGGTCATTTCATCTGAGCTCCTGCTTCCGAGCAGATGACTGGCCTTCCAGGAGAGATGTCTTCCCTGAGGCAGATGGATGGTCCCATTGATTTAGATGACAATGATGTAACTGAGTCAGGGACCACTGGCAGCAGGGACTTAGGACAGCCAGAAAGGCACCTCGCCTTGGCTCTGATAAGTTTCAGGTGTGCTCGCTGGCACACCTAGGAGCAGGAAAGGGTGGTGGCAGCTGTGGGGCAGCTGTGGATGGGACTGCCCTCTCTTTCTTTTCTCTGGTTTGAAACCACAATGATAGGATTTGGGTTTCCCAGACAGATGCCTGGTTTATTTAGCAGCACAGGGAAATGAAGGGGGCCTCTTTCTCAGCTCCTAAGGAAAGCATGAATTACCCTATGTGATTTGAGGCGATACCTTTGTTCATTCCACCAGCATTCATCAACGGTCTGCCATGGGCTGGGCCCTGCATGGGTAGTGGGGCTGCAGGGAACCTGCCCTCAGATTGTTCACAATCCAGCAGGAGAAAAAACCCACAATTCACAGGGTATAGCAAAGGGAGCTGCAGGGAGCCACAGGAACCCGGATGAGGTGGGAAGGTCTCCAGCTAACCCCACATGCCCATCATGAATTTGGCTGCAACAGAGCTCCCTGGCTTGAGCACCAGCTCTGCCAATGCAGCCCTGCCACCCAGGCCCTGGGACATCCCAGCGCTGGAGTCATTCCCACTGACCCCACAGGGAGTGGTACCTGGGATGTCTTGGGTCTTGATTTGTGATTGGGGAAACCTGATCACTATTTTCCTGCATCTTGAGACAAAGGGAGGGAAAGCTAGAGGACTGTGTTCCCAAAGCCATGTCCACCATTCCAAGTCCAGGTGTAATGTTAAATAAGCGAAGTACTTGGAAAGGGCCTCCTCCTGCCCTCCCTCCTGGGGCCCCCTCCCTGGATGCCCAGGGCCCTCACGCTGCCCTCTGTCTCCCAGACCTGACCCGATGAGATGTGACTTCTTGAGTGTTCCAGGCTCCAAAATGACCTGCCTCCCCACAGTCGGGGCTGCTGGCAGCCAACAGTACAGCTGGGGGCTGCGACAGAGCTGGACATGTGTGTGCTAACCAAGCGCTGAGGAGGGCCTGGCAGGGCAGGGTGGGCACCAGTACAGAACTCAGAGGAGGAGGGGAGTGGACAGGGAGGGTTCCCGAAGGAGGCAAGACCAGGCTGGGCCCAAGGGTGGGCAGGAGTCAGATAGGTGGAACAGTGCGAGTTAGTGGAAGCCAGGGGGATACAGAGGCCCAAAGATTTTACCCAGAACATTAGCAGCAAGACCATCGTGTGCCCTGCAGCACTGTCCCAGCTGCCCTGCGTGCCCTCATCCCGTCTCTCTCCTCTTCCCCAGGGAGAAGCAGGAGTGGACGGCCAGACTGGCCCCCCAGGGCGGCAAGGAGACAAGGTACAGAAGCCCCAGACCCAAGGGATGCAGGACGAGGGTCAGCTTGGGAGTTCAAGCCCCAGCTCAGAGAATCAGTCTCAGCCATTCCTGCAACTGGAACCTAGGGCACAAAGCTGACCAGTCATGACCACTGGTGCCATCTTTCCTGATTGGCTTGGTCTTTAGAGAGCCTTCCACTGAGATCGCAGTTGTGCAAAAGCCAGCCCAGGAATGGGGCGCTTGGGCTGGGGAGTGGCACAGAGCCCCAGCCTCTGGGAGCTTCCCAAGCCACTGGTAAAGGTGGGCCTGTCCCCTCCCTCCAGCTACTCACTGTGAAAGGCTGGTGCATCTCTTACAGGTACACAATGACTAAAATGGTGTGGAAGGTAGTGAAGGTAGAGGGCAGGTGACCTGGAGGTGGCAGTGGCTGGACATTCCCGTGAGCTGGCTCACTGCTGGGTGATCAGGAGTTGTGTTATACCAATGGGTTCATATTTTCTTTATTTTTACTCTCAATCTTGATTCTTTTAAATTCTCTTCAATGTTAACATTATCCTGGGAAAATTGGAACTGTGATTTGTTTTTCACAGTTGACACCACTGTTTCATTTATGCCCCTTAGCTCTGTCCTGTTTCCAACATGACCAAACCGCTACCTGCTCGGGGAGTTAGGTGTTCATATGCTCGTGTCCTCCTGATACCTCACCTGGCCCCTGCATTTCATCCAGCAGTTCGGGTCCTTCACAAGTACAGGGGGCCCTAAAAGAACTGCACAGCCTCTCCCTAGCAATGACTGACTGCCCAGGCAACTGACAGAAAGTGACTGAGCCCTTGCTACCCGAGCAGAAGAAGCCCAAGGGAAGCCAGGGGCTGGGTCCCTGTTCCCAGGGAGGTTGCTGACTTAGGGGACTGAGGAGAGGTTGCCACAGGGACAAAGGGGAGTCACTAACCATGAACACAGAAAGAATATGATTAAATGTGACATGGGAAGGAGCCATATGAACTCGGAGAGAAGAGGACAGGCGGGAGTTCGAAGGATGTTTCTCAAGGGGTGGAGCCTGCACTTTAGTGAGCAGGGAGGTCTGTGTCCTGGTGGCCTGAGCTAAGATGAACCTTCTGGCCCCCTCCATGGCCCCAAATGCATGGCCCATCTGGGGACATCAGGTTCTCTTGTACCCAGCGTCATCTCCATTTCACTCCAATTTTGTCATGCAACAGGGAGAGCCCGGAGCAGCTGGAGAACAGGGACAAGCTGGTCCCAAGGTGTGTGCATCTCTCTCCCGGAGTCACAGTGTGACATCTCACCTTCCTGGAGTGACAGCATGAGCAGCTTGACCCTGGGGTCTTGAGGTGTAGGGGGGACAGCATTCCAACCCCGGGTAAGAGGTCTGACGTGGCAGCCGTGAGTGGACTCGGTCTCCTCCAGGTCTGTCTCGCCCAGACTTCTCAAATGGAGTCTTCTCTTTGTTCTTCTATCCCTGAACATCCTCTGAGAGGGTCTGGAATCCCTCACAGCCCCCTCCAGCTCTCTGGACCCACCTGTCGCGTGCAGTCAGGTGCAGCCATTTGACAGAGAGCAAGCAGCCATTGCCACGAGGTGCCCCCTGGTCCGGGCCCTGGGTTGAGATCTCATGTGTCTTCTAGGGCTGCAAAGGAGAACCAGGGAAAGGAGAGATGGTGGATTATAACGGAAACATCAACGAGGCTCTCCAGGTGAGTGGCACCCAGCCTGGAGATAGAGATCATAGGTCCTCGTGGACCTCAGGGCTCTGCACCATGCCCCTGAGGGAGTGCCGGGACACTGCTGATTAGTGGCCCTGTAGCCAGGCCATTGGGCAGAGCTTCCAGGACAGACGTTCTCTCCTTTGGCCTCCCACTGTCCAGCCTCCGGTCCAATGGCCTCTACCATTCAGCATCCAGGTGGCCTGGCTCTCTGTCTGGGCCCCAGCTGGCCAGTTACCCTGGCTCTTGGCACCTGAGAGACATTGGAAGCATTATGGCACCCTGCAGGGTGCTGGTGGCCCATCCAGCTGGCCCCAAGGTGCACGGGCTCCATTTCTTTGGTACAGCATACTGCCTTACACATGGTTCTGTCTTCCTGGAACGCGTCTCCCTTTTGTGTCAAAATCCTATTTCAAGTTTGTAAGCTCTCCATCCTTTAAAGCAAGGTTTCTCCACCTTGGCACTGTTGACATTTTGGATAATCTTTGTGGCGGGGTGAGGAGGCTGTTCTGTGTGTGGTAAGATGTTTAGCAGCATACCTGGTCTCCACCCACTAGATGCCAGTAGCACCCCATCCCCAGTAGTGACAACCAAAATATATCTCCGGACATGATCAAATGTCCCCTGGGGGACAAAATTGCCCCAGGTTGAGAACCATTCCTTCAGAAGAATCTGTGTGTGTGTCAATCTATTTACAAGGTGTAAAATTCTTTCTTAAAGCCCTCATCGCTCTATGTTGTATTATGAGTGGTTCCGTGTTCTGCTAAACCTGTACAGTGTCTGTTCAGAGGGAGATCCATCACAACCTTGAGTTTGGTTTCTTGGAGAAGAGGAAAGAACAAGGGAGGGTCCCAGTGGGTGATTAGGAAGAATAAGAGGCTTTGCTTCCTTTCCTCCCTGGGTAACGTGGAGAAACTGTTGCAGTCCCTGTTAGGGCATGTCGCATCTGTGGTAGGACAACCTCAGAGCAGCATTTGGCTTATGAGATGCTGGGTGCCCTCTGCCCAGTAATTACAAACCTTGGGGGGAGGGGGGAGGGGGGCTGGGAGCCATGGAGCCCCGCTGTGAGGTCTGCCTCTACCGGGGCTCCTTCGAGGGTCCCAGCTCCCACATTCTCATGACTGGGCGGAGGGGACCATCCAGATAGCTTTTCGTTTGCTCTTTAGCTGATTGCATGTGTTGGTTTTTTAGGAGATCCGAACGCTGGCCTTGATGGTAAGTCTCCCTCCTTCCTCCTTTCCTTGGGCACTAGGCTGGGGGCCGCAAGGGTAGCCTGGAAGAAAGGACTTGAGTTCTCACCAGCAGAAAGCACATGCTGGGCTTCTGGGCTAGGGCAGCCCTGACAGAGCTGGGGCAGCGGAGGATCTGAGCCTGGGCCAGGGGTCAGGACCCATGGGTGGGCCTCTGGAGCTGCCCATGCCTGGGACATGCTGTCCCCTGGAATGGCTCTTCACTGGCAAGGCTGTGCACTCTGGTGGCAGTATAAATACTGGGTTCTATTCACAGCTGTATCAAGGAAATAGCGGTATCAAGGAGGATGTTTTTGTTTCCCTTTTTTCTAAACCTTCAGCTAAAAAAATCCGTTACCCTGAAAAATCAATAGTAACCCTCCACATTTTCCCCCGCCTAGAAATCGGTTTGATTATCTGCACTTGGAAAACCAGTGAATTCTAAGCCCAGGTTTTGCACACCTGCCTAGCAGTGAAAGGCTGTCAGTAATATTTGTAGTTAAAATGACCACCACCAAGTTTAACTTCCAAGGTGGAGGAGGGAGAGACAGACCATAAAGTTCTCAGACTGGAATTTCAATTCACCTAATGTTTTTCCATGGCTGTATGCTGCGTGCCTATGTGCCACAGAACACACAGGCTCAGAATCAAACGCCACTTATATGACATCCCAATCCCAGAAACTGGCATTAACTACATGATTCTGGAATCAATGAACTTCATTTGGGAATATGAAAATATATTATTTGAAAAAGTTATTAGAAATAAAACTTCCCTGGAAACTTATTTTTTCTTTTATAATCAACCTTGAGGTGTAACTTACACACAATAGAGTGAACCCATTTTAGGTGTAGAGTTTGGTGAGTTTCAACAAATGTATAAACACATGTATCCACCACCGCAGTCACTCTAGAAAGTTCCTT